GTGTGTGTGTGTGTGTGTGTGTGTGTGCTTGTCAGTGTTAATGTCGTTTGTATATGTTTGTGTTTATATCTTTGAATGTGTCAGTGTGAATGTGGTATACGTGTTTGCATGTGTCTTCCTGTCTTTTGCATTTCTCACATATGTTTGTCGGTCTGTGTTTGCATGTCTCGCTGAGTATTAATCTGTTCTTGTGTGTTTCTGTTTGTTTGCATATGCGTTTTTTCTTTGGTGACTTTCTCTGCGTGCACGTGTGAGGGTACTATTTCATGCCAAGACAAGCTCAAATGAAAAGTTGAAGTGCCTCTATGGGGTTCTTGTTTTGCACACAACAGGACAATTTGTGTAACGTTCGTCAACTGTTTATTTCAGATGTTGTTGCCTTTCTATAATATTAGATATGTGGAGCAATTGGTTTGGTTGATTTTTTGGAGTTCATTAAGTATGATATGACGAATATGCAGTTACTTAACTAGTTTGAATTCCGATTTATCCGTGTAAATGAAATGTACGTAGCTTTCAAGATGGAAAAGTATGTTCTTACCTTTGTACTCTCATGTAGCTGTATGTACTCTGTTGCTGTAATTTGTAAATTAGCATTAAGTGTTCCCATGTTCAGAACCAACGAGTCAGACTGACCATTTATGGTAGATATTTTAAAAATTATGTTCGTCGCATTACTCTGAATATACTAATAGTATGGTAGAATATTAACTGATTAATAATGGGACCGTTTGTTACATAGATTCGTCTTCTTATCGAACATAATGCTGCTCTGGAGTGCAAGAACAGAAATGATTATCGTCCGCTAGAGGTGGCTCTGGAAGCGGGCAACGTTCACGCCGCTCAGCGCCTGTTACGTAGGGGTGCCAAACTCGGTCGTTTGACGTGGAAGTTGGTCGTCAACAAACCTCATTTCCTGATCATGCTGCTCGAGAAGCTGCTGCAGGACGCGAACTTCTTTTACAAGAACCACCGGATCGCAGACGCAATGTGTCGCCTACAGTACGCCCTGAAAAATATTCCCGGCGACGCCGGTACCGACCTAAACTTTCTCTCCAAGTTCCTGAACATCAGGTACCACTTGTTTCTCGGTGTTGCACGCTGCAAGAAGAAAAGCAACGAGCTGGGCGAGGCGATTCAGTTCGCCACCCGGGCTATCGAACTGGACAGCGCTCAGGTGGACGGCTATTACTTCCGCGCACGCTGTTATTACGACTGTAGAAACTGGGTGGCGGCCAGGGCCGATCTGTCGGCCGTTCTCAAACTGTGCCCAAACCACAAAGAGGCGCTGCGCTCTTTGTCCCGGTTGAAACAATACCTAAAGTCGGAAGATACTGCCTTCACCGTAGACAAAGATCACAAGTATTCTTTGTTGTGCAAGACTGACCCGGCTACCGCCAGGAACACCCCCTCTGTACGTACAACACCTCAGCTTCACAGCAAGAACAACTGGGAGCAGAGCAGTTGCGACAGTGGCAATGCGCCGGACATAGACTTAGTCGATAGTGTGAACAGCAACTGCCACCGGCCGTTGAACTGGGCTTTTAGTGGCAAGCTTCAGGCATAATCCTCTCCAGTCTCTGTCGTTGTTGTCGCCTTCCTTGCTAAGTCGATTATGCGATGTTCCTTGAATTCATGTTCTGATGTATTTCTGGATGATCCGTCGATTATGCAGTGATCGTGTTTTAGTTTCATGTTTAGCAATTGCTAGTCTTTCACTGGTGTTTAACATTGTACAGAGATTAAAACATTTCGCCGCTGGATTGTTGTTGAGTACATTAATGAATCATGATTAATTGTCGACTTTAAGCACGGTTGAAAGTTCGAACAATCTTGCTGACATTAGGTACATCGAAATCGTTTTATTTTACATTCGCACAGTGAGTACCAAGTTTCTATTGACCTCTTGTGAACTCATCAACTAATGTTCTGACTCATGATTTTTCGTCTCAGTATGTTCATTAGCAATACCGTTAACTGATTCAGAAAGCATGGCAAAGAATTTTCATGATGCCTCTGAACGAAAACTGACCAGTCATGGGCTACACTGAAAGAAGATCCGGATGATGTTGGATTCGTAATCCAGGCAATCCCGTATTTAACGAATTTCAGATGGAGTGCCTTTTCTTTCATTAAATCGGATTTAGCTAAATTACATGAAGAACTAAGAATTTTTTTAAACACGCTGTATTATTTCTATATAGATAGTTTTTAAACAGATATATTGAGCAGACTAACTTTAGGAAGTATCAGTCACTTAAGAAATAAGCATAATTACAGAAACATTAATAAGACTGTATTAAATAGGTTTATATGTCCGTTGTTCCTGCTTTTCGTGAACATCTCCAGAAGTTATGGATTAAACATTGGAACGTTCATCGGTCGATAAACTTTACGGAGCAAATTATTACTGAGCATACTTAGAAATGAGAGTAAAGTCACTTGTTGCAGTGATCCATAAAACTGTTTGTTCTGGCAGGTACGGTAATATTCACATGGCTCTGCTCTTCAATGTTAAAATGCTTTAAACCTCAATTTTACATTCTGAAAAAAGTGTGAGGTTGATGCAGTTAGTAATTCTGGAAGTCCGCCTGCTGTCTTGTGTTGATCCATATCCGTTCTTCGTTAAGTTGAGGGCGGCAGTGAATGCATCCAAAACGCGTTTCCGACACTAAATCTATCGCATTTGTAACATATTTTGAGGAGGGTCCTTGCATATTTTTCTTTCTATCGCGATTCTTCTCCCAGACCTCTGTGATAAACCAGTACTCCGCTCCAAAAAAACCATTGGGCAGTTCATTGTCCAATAGCATTATTTTGATGTGATTGAAACTTTTCAATGCCGCTCGCTGATCTTGCTGCTGAAGTTCGGTTTGGAGTCCATTAGATGGCTGAATTATACATAGCTAGTGATTTTTCCTACTTCTTCGCTGTAAATAAAGTTGGTACCGAGGACATCGCAAGCTACGCATCCATTTCGTCATAGAAATGCTAATGTGCAGTCCGATGACGAGTGATTCTTACTGCAACTGCACGGTCTTTATTTGGCGAAGACGGTGACGTCGACTGCAAATAGCAGATGGGTGAGCCTTTCTCTTTTGTTGTTATGGCCGCCAACCCAGTTAAAACGGTACATCAGCATTGTTGCGAAGAGTTTCCGAAAAGTTGAGTCTCGTTGGCATATTCCACTTTGATGTTGATTCGTCACGGCACCCTGAACAGCCTGATGTCGGTTGCAGTGTGAGTGTTTAGCTCCTCTATCCGATTGACTTAGAGTTGATACCGTAGGGCGTTCTGCATAGCGTTCAGCTCGATGGAATCGAAACGTTTTTCTGAAGTCGATCAATGCGTATCAGACGGAGAACTGGTTTTCCCCACACCTCTCTGCTGACTGCTTCACCACATGGATATATTGTGGAAAATCCTTTTCCAAAAATAGCTGGTTCTGTGCTAGCAAGCAGTTCCAGGTCTTTCTGGATGTGGTTGAGAATGATTCGGGTAGAATCTTTGCGGTAGTGAGGTATTTATCGATAGTTCTGGAAGTCTTCAGCATCACCTTGCTCGAATAGATAAATTTTCAAGGAGTTCTTCCATGATTCTGACGTCTTCGTCAGCCTGATGTACTCTGTTAATTGTTCGGCAAGGACTTTGAATAGGGTTATTCAACCTAACTTGAAATGTGCTGGTTTTATGCTGTCGCTGTCAGAGCATCTACCTTCGAGAACGATATTTATGACTGCCCAGTTCACTCCATTTCATGTGCCATCGAGAACGATTTAGAGGCAACGTGCGGCACTTTCCGATTTGATGAGTGAAGATTGTTGTTGAGCTTCCTGTAGATAGCTTCCATGCGACAGGGAGCTGTAGTTCTTGTTCCTCCGTCTTCTTGTACTATTTTGTTCCTTCATCCTCCGTTCTAGGAGGATGTCTTTTTTCACAACTTTCAGCTTGTTCTTCTTAGATGCCACCTCCCTTAGCTTCGTTCTCCTGCACTCGTCATGGTCCTCGCGAATCTTCTTCCGTATTTCCTTGCGTGACGCAATGTAATCGTCGTTCAGTTGCTCTTCGGCATCAGCCTTCATTTTCGGGAACAGCTGCCTTGTTACAGCGCAGGTGCGTTGGCTCCTCGTCGACCTTCCTGCTTTGCTGGATGACTGAATGGTAGTTTTGATGGTATGGAAGAACTGACGATAGCCTGCATCGATGCCTCTGCTGATATCTGTTGCGAGGTTCATTTGAGGAAGCTTGTCTGTGACAGCCTCAGGATCAAATATTCGTCCATCGGCCGATGATCTTTGAGCCCTTCTAAACTGGGTTTCTTTAGCGTCATCAACTGTGACTGTGCACCGGAGCAATCTGTGTTCTGACCCCGAGCAGTCGATGCCTTTATCAGTGACAGACAGATCCTATGTCCACCAGCAGTAGTGGCTTTGTTTAGGAGTAGTACCCTTTGAGCTCCTGCACATCCATTCTCGTCTTTATTAAGCATGTTATTCATGACATGAACTGAGTTATTTTCGACAAGCACTGCGACGCGAGAGTTCCGGTTAATCCGGAAGATGAAACGCGCTGTCTCGGTAGTTTCCTTTCCTACCATGGTGTTGAAATCTCTGGATGATTGAGTTTATCTACGTCTTTTGCATTGCACTAGTTACTCGAAGAATTGCTTCACTTCTTCATCATTCCTTGCTGTGTTGAGCTGTAAGTGATTCGATTCTCTTTAGTGATCTTCTCTTGTCCACTCTCAGAATTAAGACGGCTACATGAGGATGCATGAGATTGCAGCTGAATACAAATGGCACAGACTTTTTTACGACTAATCCACCGAATATCGGAGCCTGATTTTCGTACTCTTTCTGAGGAATATTTGATCACTGCTGTTGCATTGTGCGATAAGTTTGACTGATCTTCTGATTTCACGCACCCCGAGAACAATCTGCTACAACCTTCTTCTTGTTCTTCTTGGTTCGGTGGATGTCGACAAGCGCCCCTGATGATAAGCCTGTATTGTCGTGGATAGCCATGAAGATTTAGATGATAATTTTCGCCGCTTTCCAGTCGAGTCCCTACATCGTAAGTAATCCGTTTTTCAGTAAGCTAACGCGATCGCCTGCATTTAAACGGCCCCGGTATTCTTCCAAATTTACCTTATTTTTGTCAAGTTTCGGACGTACTTCATTCAGGATGAACCATAGCCTTCATCTAACATGTTCTCCATCCATATCGTTAAAGATCTAAAAGTATGGTGCTTTGTGAGCTCTAGGTCGCGGTAGTGTTCATTGACCATTGTTGGACCTCACTGTCTACCAGAGAAACAATCATCCTACCGAAGAAAACCTTTAGCCGTGTATCCAGCCGTCTCGCCATGTAGATGGATCTAAATTATCTGACCATGTAATGTAAAAGTTTGATTTCCGTGAGACTGCACAAGTGCCGTGTTAATTCGTCTATTCAATGTCTTCCTTACTGTAGAACCAATTCTCTGAGTTGTTCCATGTCACAACTTCTGTCATGATCACGAGAGGGACGGCTGCATATAAATTACTGATGTTCATGCCTGAGTTTCAGCTCAGTAGTGCTGATTACGTAGTGATATCAGCTCCGTTTTTGCGAGATTGCTCAAGTCGATGCCCATGCAATATTTACGAGAGCAAAAGTAGCTCAAAGGACGCAGTGGCAATCAGGTGAACTGAATAGCCTCAGCCTCTATTCAGTGATAGAGGGCATGACTTTTTCATGCTCTGCATGAAACATGGGCGATGCTGATCCATGCCCTTTGAGATGTGGATTAAAGGTTGGTCATACGTAGGATATGAAGCGTAATGAAATCGGTTCAGTAAAGTTGCCTTTAGCATTTTTGTAATGCATCTGATAGAATCATATATTGTAATTGACCGTGTGATGCTCTATCAACTAATATGAGATAGACATAATAACAAATAAAACAATACAACGCTTCATTCGTATAGTCAACAATTACAATATCATTACATTTTAAACTGTCAAACAATTTGCATGTTTCAAATTTTACCAGACCATAGATTCTCAGTGCGATGAAGCTTTCGCTTCATATTAATCCAATCGAGTAGTCAATTACATCGGCATCATTGGCTCTTGAAAGCCGCCGGCGTCCAGAGGTGATGCTAATGGAGCCCCAGGCGGTGGTAAGTTCAGTACAACCTAAGTTATAACATACAGGCACTTCGTTTTCACATCGTTTTCAACATACCTTTTGATCCATCGTTGGAATGCCCATAGCAAACGTGTCTTGAACGGTGCTCATATCATCAGGCATCATTTGCAGACTTTGAACCAGCATTTTGTTTTTTTCGGCCACGGCAGGGTTCCATTCGAATGGTTGCAAAATCAGATCTATCACTGTTCTCTCACCTGCAACATTTTGGTATAGTCCTGCATTACTTTGGTAAAGGAATCTTTCAAGCAGTTGATATTATTCACATTAAACAATTTGAACTGTCTTTGTAATTTATTACATCAGATTCCATATAGGAAATGATTTTTAGGCTTCCTGGGACTATGACTTGCTTTATGCTTGATGGGCGGTTCTGTTGATACGGGTAATTGCTCATCTGTACTACAGTAAGCGGTGGAATGCTCTTGGTCTAATTTAGGCTTTTCAGCCAATTTTGGATGGAAGACTTTAGTAATGGCAAGTTTCATTGTCCAACCAGCAATAACTTTAGGGTCACTTAAATACGCAGGCCACCTTATCATTGTGCCATTCTGAAAAACTGTCACAGATGCCTGGTAATCCGCTTATTCATCGCTTGTGAGCAACTTTTTATCAAGATCCCAACTGCAGCAAATTCGGCATGTCATGACAATGGCAGGGGAAAAAAACTCGCAGGGCAGACTGTCTTCACAAAACCACATGGCAGGTTGTCAAAGATTAGTTTGGAAGTCAGATGGTTCCATCGGATCGACACCTGGCATCGTAGAGTCTCCTTAAGCTTAACTGATTAGTGCAGACTTCGATCATTCTAACTGCCTCCTTTCTGAAAAAAATGGACAACCATGAAGACAGACTGTGGAAGGAAATGGCAGATCAAGAGGTGGGAGATTTTTCCTCCATTAAGTCAAATTGCGGAAATTATTATACAGCCAATTGCTTCGTTCCCTGCCATAACAAACAAAACAATCGCACACGTCCTACTTATCAGAATGAGCAGAGACCATGAGGCATTTACTTGCATTGAACCAAACGTCTATAAGGTTATGATAACTCCAATCAAATTTTGAAACCTATCTTCCGTTACTATTAATACAGGGATCCCTGAGTCTGCATGCGCCCAAAATAAACTTGCCAGCCTCAATGTAAAACTAAACATGATTTATGGTAGCCAACCAAAGTTGCTCAGTCGGTAGCATTTTGGATCCATGCCGGAGTAGTCCAGAGTTGGACTTCCTAACGGGTCACTCACCTTCCTTTCTCTCGAGGTTCCACATGGTATGCTTGCCCCATTCCTGCAGTCGACTATGCCTTTGACATAGGACACTCCTCTGACGAGGTCTCGGAAATGGATATCAATGCCCTTCCAGTAACTTCAAGAAAAGAAGGACGCCAGAACGGGCCCACAATGAATGCGTAAGGAAGACCGGTGTTCCGGCGGTTGCAAACTACCCTTTCTTTCATAGTTGCTGACAGAAGATGACCCTGACAAAGGCACCTTTTTGTTCATAACGATGACGACATAAAGGCAGAAATTCGAACAACGTTCTTACCGGATATCAGTCTCGTGTCATGACCCTCAAAGCAGCTGAACGCACTTTAATTTCTCTCCATGCTTTCATAGTATACATGTAGTATTGTATGAACTTTAGTTCTTTCGTAGAGTAGCTCATCGTTCCTTGTGCAAGGGTTGATCAGCATGATGGAAAGCTGCACAAGAGCAGTAAAAGCAGCAAAATATTATATTGAAGCAATAAAAATTACTGGACAACTTTAGGAATAATCGTAGAAACTTTGTTATCCTTCTGAACACGTGAGATAATGTTAATGATTGATTGGAAAACGAAAAACAATGCTTTCCAAACAGCAGGCAACAGTGGCAAGCTCGACTGGTGCAACGAACAACAGAGCATGCATTTTACTGAACCATTAATTGTTGAATGCATCGGCAGCGATGCATGCACAATGGTGCTTGAAATTAATACACGAAAGGCCAAGCCTAGAACATGTCACCGAATCGAAAGCAATACTCTTATGACTGTTAAAGAAAATAGTGGTGCTCTTGCACAAATGTATGAATGATGACATCAGACGTGCGGTTGCCGCTGAGGTTTTCGTGAACCCCCTAAGGAGCGGCTAACGAGGCTTGAGTGAGGCTGTTTCAGGACAATCATGCACTCAGCTGATTTATCCCTGATTACTGAAACCGTATAGAATTTATCAATTACAGCGGATTTTATTAATAACGAACCTAGAAGTCTCAGTAGCTATGAGTACAGAAAATTGCAGAACAGAGAATTGTGCCTGCCGGTGATAAATGTTGAAAGCGTGGAACGTGCAAGCGTTGAAAAAGGCGGAAAGGGCTGCAGTGGTTGCAGAAAAACTGCCTTCAAAACTATGAGGACAAGCCACAATCGGTCAGTCCTCTTTCTTCGTTGCAAGGTGAGAAAACGAGTTCCATGTTGTGGGAAAACAAACAGAAAGCCATGTGCCATGCTAACCTACTGTGTAAAGGTTGCATTTAAAAATAAGCCCTCATGGTGGACGAAGAAGAAACGAAATCTCTGACGCGTTTCTAACATTAGTCTTTGTCGACCCACTTTTGGATGAAGGTCTCTCCAAGATTTTGCAATGGATTTCTGTTTTTTGGAGCCTCATAAACTCATAAAAGGAGAGTGCTACAGATGGCATGAAAATGCCAGGGAAATCGACCCTACCCTAAATCGACCTTAATCTATGACAACCAATAAAGCCAGCTCCGCAACGGCCTGCCAATCAGTAAGGTGGTGGTTCAAAGCAATGTCTTGATGCAGATCCGGATTCAAGCACTGGGACATCTGCAGACAGCGTGTCACCTAGACCCACGGCAGATTTAATGAAGCGCTGGTATTTAGCTGCCTACGGTATTTCAGTTAGACAACGACGCCCTTCTATCCTACAAATCGTCAAATTACAACGGGGTGCTGTCCACGACTGAAGTTGAACAGCGCTACCGGGAGATGAGCCATTTCTGTTGAAAACAATGATTGTGCATTCGGTGTAATTTGCTTCAAATGTGTATATATACTTGCAGCCCCGTCATAATAAATGTAGTTTTTGTG